GGAGAAGAAATTTCACACCTGAGGATGGCGACCTTAAGCAAAAGCTTGAGGAGATGAATGAAAGGCTCGGAGTGGTGTGGAAAGAAGTCAGAAAGCCGACGTCGGATATTATCTCACCCATCGAGTCCCCTTTTGTTGATAGCATCATGAAAGAGGAAATTCCCTCTAGCTTTAAGATGCCTCAGATGGAGAATTATGATGGAACTTCGGACCCCCGTGACCACCTTGAGAATTTCCAAGCTCTCATGATGCTTCATGGGGAGACCGACGCCATCAAATGTCGAGCGTTCTCGGCCACACTAAGAAAGAGCGCCAGGGTTTGGTTATCTTCACTGCCAGCGGCCTCTATCCATACTTTCAAACAATTGGCACAAGAATTTCTCAACCACTTTGTTAGCAGCAAACGGTACAAGAAAGCTTCGTCCCACCTTATGGGCGTTCGTCAGAGGTCGAATGAGACGTTGAGGGAGTTTATCCAACGTTTAAATGGAGAGGCACTAGAGATTGAGGAATTATAGAAGATCTCCTTTAAGATCAAACAATTCCATCGAATTGAGTATGATTGTATGTGTGATAGCATCTATTATACCAGGAATATCAATGAACCCGATTATTGCAATTGCTCAGGATACCCTTTTTAGCTTCTAGGGTCTATTTCTTAGTTCAAGATCCCTCTTAGAATCAAAGAATTAGTAGTCTGTGGCCTTAGCCGCACTCATGAATGGGGTTCGAAAGTCTTCAAGGTTTGCTTTCTCTTTGGCGAAAAAGCCACCGCTATCCCTCCCTGATCTCTTCAGTAGGGCCGAAAAGTACATCAACGCTGATGAGATGTCCAGAGCGGAGGATGAGCGTGAGACCTCTGAAAGAAAGAGAACAAGGGACCCTGGTGACGATAATGGCGGAAAGAGGAAAAAAGTATGGGATAGGCTGTCTGTCACGACCAACTCGTCGAAGGATCGGTCCAATCTCCCGAGGTTTGAAAGGTATACTCCTTCGCGTGCTACAAAGAATGAAATCTTGATGTATATTCGAGATAAGGACTATGTCAGGTGGCCAACCAAGATGAGAACACCTGCAAACAAAAGAAGTCGTGATAAGTATTGTCGTTTCCACAGAGACCACGGTCACGATACCGAGGACTGTGAGACCCTAAAAAACGAGATTGAGGACTTGATACACAGAGGATACCTTAAGAAATTTGTGGGAAAAGACAGAAGCAGCCCTCAACCCCGGCGAAGCCGCTCGAAAGATCGAAGTCGTAGTCCTAGGAGGGGTAATCCTAGGGCCCGAAGTCCGAGGAGGGACAACACTCAAGTTGCTGGGGTCATAGCCGTCATCGCTGGAGGACCATCCGGTGGAGAAAGTAATTCTGCTCGCAAAGCATATGCAAGGCAACCTAGAACAAGCGAGCCGCAAGAGAAAAAGGCTCGTAGGGACACACAAATAACCTTTACCGAGGAAGACACGGGTAACATTCTAACTCCTCATGATGATCCCATGGTCGTTACGCTTACGATTGAGAATTATGGGTTCAAAAGAGTGTTGGTGGATAGTGGCAGCTCGGCTGATATCATATTCTATGATGCATTCGAGAAGATGAAAGTTGGTCGTGAATGACTAAGGCCAGTCAAAACTCCACTCATTGGGTTCACAAGTGAAACCGTGGAGCCGGAGGGAATTATAACTCTCCCGTTAACTGCAGGGGACTCACCCCAGCAGACCACAGTCATGATGGATTTCTTAGTTGTGAAGGTCCCCTCCAGTTACAATGTCATCCTTGGACGACCAGGGTTGAACAAGATGAAGGCCATAGTCTCTACATATCACATGCTTATGAAGTTCCCGACCGAGAATGGCATCGGGAAAGTTCGTGGAGACCAAGAGATAGCCAGACAATGTTATGTGGCCTCACTCAAAGGTAAAAGAGAGAACTCTAATGGTGGTTTGAGTGTGAGGAGCAAAGGAAAAAGAGGATTTAAAGGCAGATGTTAAGTCTGACAAAATAAAAAAGAAGGCAAATGCGGGAACAAGAAAATTGGCAAGCTGCCAATTCGCAGGCTCAAACTTTCTCTCCCCCCAAAGTCCACGTGTTGGACAACCCATGGGGCAAATAAAAAAAAAAAGGAAAAAAGGACAAAATCGGCCCACTTCACGTGGGATTAAAAAAAAAAAAGGGAAAAGAGGACAACATTCTGCCCACTTCACGTGGGCTAAAAAAAACAAAAAAAAAAAAATTGTGGGAAGAGTAGTGGATTGGACAATCCTAAGGTCCAAAGCTCCTAAGGTTTTAAGGTCTACTCTTCCAACTATCCAAGGTCTAAGGACTTAGCATGTTTTCCATACTATCTCCAAAGTTTAAGGTAAAATTCCCAAGGTCTCAAGGTGTTTCCTAAGATGTCTTGAGGTGTCCAAAAAACTAGTCCTCGGACTACCGAGATCTACGACGAAGCTCCTTGGCCTACCAAGGTGTTCAAAAAATTTGTCCTCGGACTACCAAGGTCTCCAAAGAAGCTCCTTGGCCTACCGAGGTGTTCAAAAAATTAGTGCTCGGACTACCGAGGACTACAAAGAAGACCCTCGGCCTACCGAGGTGTTTAAAAAATTAGTCCTCGGACTACCGAGGACTACAAAGAAGACCCTCGGCCTACCGAAGTGTTTAAAAAATTAGTCCTCGGACTACCAAGGACTACAAAGAAGACCCTCGGCCTACCGAGGTGTTTAAAAAAATTAGTTCTCGGACTACCGAGGTCTCCGAAGAAGCTCCTCGGCCTACCGAGGTGTTCAAAAAATTAGTCCTCGGACTACCGAGGTCTCCGAAGAAGCTCCTCGGCCTACCGAGGTGTTCAAAATATTAGTCCTCAGACTACCGAGGTCTCCGAAGAAGCTCCTCGGCCTACCGAGGTGTTCAAAAAATTAGTCCTCGGACTACCGAGGTCTCCGAAGAAGCTCCTCGGCCTACCGAGGTGTTCAAAATATTAGTCCTCGGACTACCGAGGTGTTCAAAATATTAGTCCTCAGACTACCGAGGTCTCTGAATAAGCTCCTCGGCCTACCGAGGTGTTCAAAAAATTAGTCCTTGGACTATCGAGGTCCCCGAAGAAGCTCCTCCTACCGAGGTGTTCAAAAAATTAGTCCTCGGACCACCGGGGACTACCAAGAAGACCCTCGGTCTACCGAGGTCCAAAAAATTAGTCCTCGGACTACCGAGGACTACGACGAAGCTCCTTGGCCTACCAAGGTTCAAAAAATTTGTCCTCGGCCTACCGAGGTGTCCAAAGAAGCTCCTCGGCTTACCGAGATGTTCAAAAAATTAGTCCTCGGCCCACTGCGGACTACAAAGAAGCTCCTTGGCCTACCGAGGTGTTCAAAAAATTAGTCTTAGGACTACCGAGGTCTACAAAGAAACTCTTCGGCCTACCGAAGTGAAGTGTATGTCCAAATTATTGCTATCGATGTTGCTTAAAGAAAATGCCAACGCTACTGACGTCGGTAAATAATAACTAGCTACCGAAGACTTGAAGAAATAAGGACATGGTAAGAGAAAATTACCAGGGTCTGAGGACTTTCGAATGCTGACGTCGAGCTTGACAAATCGATGCAATCCCAAGAGCTTGATTCTCTCCCTCTCTCTATATCTCTCTCTAGAAAGTAACAATGTGAAAAGTGAGAAGAGAAATGAGAGTGAGGAACTTTATAGCAAGCAACTGGACTGTCTGTCTACACAACTGTACTGAAAAGTCACCAAATGCAGATATTAATCTGTGAATGTCTCATCGCTTATTTTCTGTACGCATAAAAATTAATGCGCACATAAAATGGGGGGCAAGTGATAAGGGAAAAAATATACATTTATTATACGACACGTGGCTTCGGAGGATGAAGACACGTGTGATCCGAGGACTGTTAGAGTCCACGATTAAGGCCGTAACCCAACCCCAATATAGGCCCAAGGTCCCAAAGAGCTCTACTCTGGGCCCAATGTCCTGAGGAGAATTACTATAGGCCCAAGGTCCAGAGGGGCTTTACTTTGGGCCAAAATCTGAGGTCAGCCCACGAAGCTTATGGGCCAGGGAGTCCTCCGCCTGCAGAAGGGAGACATAGGTCGTCTGACTCCTATAAAAGGACGACCTAGGTCAAGGTAAGGGACATTCTGAACTCTCCAAACTCTCTCTTCTACTCATTCCGCAGCCACCACCCCAGAAAACCAGAAAACCTATTCTAACTTAGGCATCGGATGATCTACCCCTGGGGACAACCCCGGGGTTCTGTTTTGCAGGCGTTGGAGCAAAGGAGACGAGTCCAGGGAGACGTCGGAGTATACATCAACCATCGCCACGTGTCCTCTGACTAACGTCAGGTAATTCTTGTATCAGCATGAACTATTTTAGACATTTTTTGGACTTGTTGGATTTGGATTGGAATTGAAATTCTTAAACTTTTTTTTTGTCTGGACAATTGTGTTTGGCCCAATGAAAAAGGCCCATATGTTTGAGCCCAACAAACAATCCAAAAAACAAAACTGTTTTTAAAAGTTCGGTTAATCGAACCGAATCGACCGACTAATTCGGTTCGATTAAATTTCGATTTTAAGTACATTGTTCAATCAATTCGATTTTCAGAATTTAATGATTCAAATAATTCAATTTTTGCAGTTCGGTTGCTTCCACGAACACCCCTAAAAAGAAAAGAAAAAAAAAAAAAAAAAGGCTCTGGAATTTGATCTTAAAAAACATTGACCGCCAAAAAAATCATGCGAATTATCCAAGCTCTAATAAATCATGCGACCAAGTCCAAGTCGACGCCGAGTTTGTCACAGACTAATCAACTATCCTCTGACCCACCACGCATTTCAAATCGACACCAAATTATTCATACAGAAAAATCAACTGCGCTAAATCTCCTAATCCCATCAATACTACTATTAGCTTTGAATCTGTCATCCAATTTCATTTTTCTTTTGATCCGCCATTAAAAGCAAAAACAAGAAGCTCTGCAGAAGAATGAGCAGATGGGAAGTGGTGAGCACAATTATGCACACTGTTGTTGTACTCCTTCAGTTGAGCTCCCTGCGGTTGGTGCAGTGCCAATTGCCGAGGAGCCCAGCGTCTTTTGATTTGCTCACACAAATGGCGTACACAAGGCTCCAAAATCTCACCTCAAACATCCTCTCCACAAGACTCGTCCAAGATTACAGCTTTTGCATTCACAACCCGTAATCATTCTTCTTCTTTTTTTTTTTTTTTTCGTTT